ACACAGTGTCATGTGTCCCCACACCCTGGAGCTGCACGCACCTCAAACTTGCCCGGGTTCTGCTCCAGGAGTTCCTTGCTATTGGACAGGTATTGCCAGGCCTTGGCTCTAAGGGAGGAGGGGATGCCCTTCCGGCAGCGCAACTTCACCTAAGGCAGAGTGGCAGGCAGGGAAACAGCTTCAGGGGCTGCACAGCCTCCAAGATTTCCCCAGCAGTGCTCCGGTTCTCTGAGCCTCCCCTCCCACATTCCATAGGCTGCCTCCACTGTACATGGCTGGCCTATTTTTAAAGTTACTTCTCCTTAAGGCCCAAGGCCCACCTACCCCCAGTGTGGTCCAGAGAGCAGATTCTATCAGGTTCCTGGACTTCCCTGGAGCTCATGGGCCACCCTTCCCTCAGCCCCAAACCCACCCACCCCCATCCACTGCCCTGCCCATCAATCAGCTTTTTCAAACCTTCTGGAAACGCCGTGATAGCCACTTATCCCAGTTACTAAACATCTCTAGCCACTTGAGCTCTCGCTGCCGAGCGACATCCACGGGAATGGAACTTTCTCTGCAAGATGAAGGAGCATGGAAAGGGTCAGTTAGCAGCAATATAAAACCTGGGTTGCTGGGGGAACTGAGGCAAGTCACCTCCCCAGGCTCAAATAAGAGACTCAACCCAAAGGCATTTTGTGAAGGAAAGTTGGCGCCCTGGCCATCCAAGGCTGTCGTTCTCCACACTGAAAGGACTTTCTTTGGAAGAACTGTGTTCTCATTTTGGATCTTTTTGAACACAAAGATTATATTCAAATCCCCCTTCTGATACATACAACTTTGGGATGGGAGTATGCCATATTTAAAAGCTCCTACCTTTTTTCAGAAGACTTCTCCAGCAAAAAAAAAAAAATAAAAAAAAAAATAAAAGCTCCTACCTTTTGCTCTACCAAAGATTCAAATTCTAGCCTTACCACTTACTCATTGTGTGACTTTTAGCAAGTCATTCAATTCCTCTAAGCCCCAGTTTTCTCATTTGTAAGATGGAGAGACAAACAATATCTATCTGAGTTTATTGACATGTTATATATAAAATAGAACATAGCAAGAGCTTAGTAAATACTGATTATTATTCATTAAACAAAACACAGAACAAATTTACTACTCTGTCTCCTTAGAAGCAACTACCTGTGTTTCCTCCTGTAAGACTCTTGAGATTTCTTAAGCCATCTGCAATTCCCTCTACCACTCCTCCCTGAATCACCCCAGATTTCCAGGCACATGAAGCTCTCCTTGCACTGTCTGTCCACTGTTCTGTCAGAGCTTCACACTCAAGATGCTCCATCAGTCTCAAAACAATTACTGACAGAAGCCAGTACCAGGTACATGGAATGAGAGAGTGCGGATTTCCAGACAGACCTGAGCTCAAAACTCAGTTCTGACCCTTAGAAGTTGTGAAGTCTTGGCAAGTGATAACCTGCGTCTTTTCCTCATCTGTAAAAAAATGATGTCACCTGCAGCACAAAGTTATGACAGGATTATCTAAGAAACTATATAGAAAGGATTGTTAAATGGAAGTGTTCACTAAATGTTTCTTTTGTCCTAGAAGCTCACTGAACTGGGAGGCCATCTCTCATTAGTCTATTATAGTCAGTTCCAAATTCCACTCAGGACTAGGAAGAGTAAAATACCTTTCCTGCCCTCAAGATAGTTACACACCAGCAGGACAGATAACTGGCAGTAAGATGTGAGAAATGCAACGACAGAGATGCACAGAGCAGCATGTGGTTGGATAGTGGAAGAAGGGACATATGAGGCAATCCATGAAAAGAAAGGGGAGAAGGGCATTCCCGGGCAGGCAGGACAGCCTGGGTTTGAAGGAGAGACTACACTGGCTCAACAGGACCACAGCACAAAGTGGCGGGAGCGACCAGAGAGGCTGACGAAGCCGATGTGACCCGATGTGATGAAGCCAATGTGCAGAGAAGGAGCCTGTGTGCAGGCTTAGAGGCCCGGGAACTTTATCGCGAGGGCAGTGGGGAGCCTCTAATGCTTTTAAGGTAACGGGTACCCAAGTCAGCCTTGCTTCAGCGGTAGCGTCCCCAGCACAGAAGACGCATTTTAGAGGGACAAAACTACAACCCGAAAATCCAATTCAATCAAAGGTCCTGAGGGCAGCATGCAGCTGAGGAGCAAGCCATTGGTCATGCAGAACCAGATTATTTGAGTCGGGGCAATTCATTCAGCTGCTCAAATCCTGTTTCTTCATCTGTGAATTAGGTACAACAAATGCCTTCCTCCTGCGTGGGAAAGCACCAGGGTCAAATTTCAGTTGCCTTCCCCTCACAGGAATGTGAATACGGTGCTCAAAGGTTTTCTGATGTTTCGTTAGATTATAAACCTTGCCTAGAACATCCTTCCACCGAGCTTCCCCCAACAACAAGGTCTCCCAACACACAGCCGTGACTAACTCCTACTCGGTATGATTCAGATCAGCTTCAGTCGAATTCCCAGACTGGGCAAAACCCAGGTGCTCACAAAAGCCTGTGATGATCTCTAGGCTAAACCTAACATGCTGAAACCTACAGCTTAAGTATTTGTGTCCCCCTCTAGGTGGTGAGCGCCTTCCTTAGTACCCAGCACAAGCCTGCTATCAAGCAATGGCACAGGAAGAACTGACCAGCAGGTATGGGAACAATGGGCAGGATCTAGAGAGAAGGAAGGAAGAAGTCAAAGGCGATCACACCCCCACCTCAGGAGTGACTCAGGCCCCTGGAGGGAACTAGGAAAGAGTAAGCTGGGCTGGGGAGATGAGGAAATGGGGAAGAGGCCTCCTCCACCCCCATTCCTTCAGTGAAAACAGAAGACTGCCCTGTCCTGCTTCACAGAAGGCCCCTCCATCACCCAGACTTCCCCACCTCACCACCCCATCAGACAGTGGGCGATGGGGGAGGGGATGCGCCTGCATCCCTCCCAGACTCTTTCTCCTAAGAGACCAAAGATCTCTACCAGAACCCCCCTCCAGGATGTCTGGTCTGTAGCTAAAGTTTCACATGCAGGAGCTGGAACTACCCTAGGTTATCATCTCGTTCGACCTTTTAGTTCAGAGGAGAAAACTGAGGCATGGAAATGGGGAAGGCACTCACTCAAGGGCACAGAACACACCAAAGGCAAGGCTCAGTTCAAACCAAGAACCGACCCCTGGTCCGAAAGTCTCACAACATGCCACAGAAACCTCAGGATGCTCTCAGCTTGAGCGCAATGGCCAAGCAGCCCATCCCGCTGACAGCACCCCCCATCCTCCCAGGAGGCTATGCTGCCAGAGTTTGCGCAAAATGCATCATTTCCCTGCCTCCCCCCCAACCTCTGCCTCCCTGAAGCTGTCCCACTGGGTGCCCACGGGGTACTCACAGGCTGCCCGAATACTGGCTGCCCCCAAGGAAGCCGTACTTGTCCGTCTTGCGCAAAGCCAGTCCATTTATCTCTGAGTCTGAGCCCATGGAACTCACATCATCGGCCAAGGACTCCAAGGTCCCAGACATGAGGCTCACAGAGTCCAAGTAGCTCAGAGTGTCTGGGGCCTGCCCTCGAGGCCCAGAGATGCCAGGTCCCAGGCTGGACATGGAGCCTAGGTCCTGAGAGTTTTCGGCAGGTTCGGGAGCGGGGGTCACGGTCACGACAGCTACCAGAGGCTCACTTGTCCCTGGAAGGCCTGTATCAGGCCCTAAGGGGTCCTCTGGAGGCTGTTCTGCTGATGCTGATGCTGATGTTGCTGCTGCAGCTCCACGTCCACTTGTCATTTGTCCTGCTGTCACTGCTACACCCCGTGCAGTCACTCCTGAGGCCACTGTAGTTCCCGGCTTGGGAGCGAGCGGGGGTTTGGCCGTCAGAGCCCCAGGAGCCCTTCTGGAAGGGGTTCTGGTAGGGGTCCCGGCGGGGGTACCTGGTCCAGGGGCGGGTGAGGGTCTAGCCTCCTCCATCTTCGGAGAGTCAGTCCCTGGGGCCGGAGTCATCGATGCCTCCGCTCCCACCACTGCCGCGGGCACCAGGGGCACTGGGCTGGGGGCGCCCTGAGCCGTCGGGGCTTCAGGTGAGGCCTCCAGAGGCAGCATCACCACCGTGCTGTCTGGAGCCGTCGGGGCCGGGGCCGTCGGGGCCGGGGCCGAGATCTGAGTCGGCCCGGGGACCCAGGTGGGCCGCGCCTCCCCGGGGGCCACCAGGGTGACCGGGGCCGAAGTGGCCGTGGTCACTGCCGGCCCCGAAGCCACCACCAAGAAGGGCCCGGCCCGGGAGCCTCGGGGCGGCGGCGAGGGCGCCGCGGGGGCCGCAGGGGCGCCATGACGGCGCGGCGGGGCCACCAGGGGCGCCGGGCCCGGCTCCATCGCTGTGGGCCGCCCCTCACATCCCCCCCGCCCGGGCGGCCGCAGAAGGCGCCGCCCCTCAGGCCGCTCCGCGCCGCCCGCCCAGGAAGGCGAGAGGGCGAAGGGCGCGGCCCGGCGTGCGCCAGGGGCGGGGACGGTCCGCGGGCTGCCGCCGGCGCCCGGAGGCGGGGCAGTGGTACCCGGGTGCCCGGCGCCGGGGTCTCACTCGCGCCCTCTCACCCCTCGCGCGCTCTCGCCGCCGCCCCCCTCCCGCTTCGGGCGAGAGGCCGGCCCCGCGCCTGCGCACATGCCCCGGCGCCGGCCGTGCGGCCAGCCCGTCGGAGTTCCACGCCTGCGCGCGAACCATCCCATCGCGCTCCTTCTTCCTCCCGCCCAGGCAGGAGGCCTGGACGAATAACAGCAGAGGGGGAACTGGCTTCTGCCAATCGTTGGAAGGGTGGGTGGGGCTGGGGGTGGGGAGGGGGTGGGCGATCTGGGAAGAGGAAACGGAGACGGAGTAGGGCGAGGGGGCCAATGAGAGGGCGCGAGAAGGCCGGGGAGGCGGGACGAGGGAGTAACTAAGGGAGAGACGGGCAGCGCAGCCTCCCGGCCAATGGCGGTGGCTGAGGCGTGAGCGGCCGCGGAAGGAGGCGGTGCGGGGAGGGCAGAGGCCGGCCTGGCTAATAGGAGCGGTAGGGGGAGCCCACGGGAAGGGGAGCAGGCGGAGGTCGCACGGGCAATGCTGTGTGCTTGCCCGGCGACAGACAGCGCCCCCAGTCAATAGGAAATGCGGAGTTCTTCAGGGCTCCCAAGAAGGTCAGAAAAGTATCACAGCCGGGCCAGAGGGCGGGCCCACTATGCGATTAATTTGCCTCTTCCGCCAATGAGCGCATTAGCTCACTTTAGCAACAGAGGAGGAAAACAGACGGTTGTCATAGCCAATGGCAGCACCCAAAGGGCAGGGGCGCTGCCAACTGGCGGTGCCGCTCCAGGGATATCGGTGACAACCAGAGACAAGCGCGGAAAGGGGATGACAGTTGGAGACAGCGCAGAGAGGGGTGGGGGCTGGAAGCACTAGTGTACCACTAAGCCAATAAGAGTGTTGTTCTGCCCCACCCGAGTCCTTTTCTGGGCCCCCATTCTCTATCCAGCTCCGCAGCCCCCGATGCCTCCCCTCCCCACGCGTGAGCTATGAGACCACCGAGCTCCACCACACATCCAGTGTCCTGTACAGCCCTGTCAACGTCCAACACTCCTAGTCGAAGCAACTATAACCAGAGACCCCCAAATCTTCTAAGCGACCCGTCCGTTCCTATGGGAATTCCAAGTCCCAAGTCCCCCTCCTCAGTGCCCCAGCTATCAGCACTCTCCACCCCCTACCCCAGAATCCAGGTTCCAATTCCTCAGACCGCACTCTCTGAGTCCCCTCCCCATTCTAGTGGGAATCCGAGACTCCAAAACCATAAATTCCCAATACCATGAGTTCCCATATCTGTTCTTATTCTTTTAGGATCCATGACCCCTCTCCCATCAACTCCTCTCCTCTCATTGCCATACCTCTCTGTGCTCATTTTCTTCGAAAGAAAAAGAGACCCCAATCTCATGAATTCACCCCCTCAGCTCTTGACCACAAACACAAAATCCTGATCATAGAGCCCCACCACTCTGACCCCTCTCCCTTGAACCCCAGGAATAAAGCATCCTAATTTCCATACAGAATCCACCATCCTGAATGTTCTATCAGGTCTAGCTCCCACCTGCCAAGCTCCTCCTCAGTTTCCCAGGTCTCTGAGACTCCTCACTCCCAGCTCAGACCCAGATCTTGTGAATTCCAACTCAGGGCCTGAGATATACCACTCCTGAGCTTCTTCTCAACACCCCACTTTCCATTTGACCCAAGCTTCCCCCATTCCCCTCTCTGAAGTCCTCCTCCTTCCCAGAATCCTACCCAGTAATAAGTGGGCTCTCTGGACCTGTACCCCCATGGTAACCATATAAGGTGAGGCAGCTGTCAACTGTGGCAGGGAGGGGCCAGTGCAGGAGGCCAAGGGCAGCTGCTAAGTTTAGGGTGGCTCCTTCTCTCTTCTGAGAGACAACAGGTGGCTGCGCCCCAGTGCCCAGAAAAGAAAATGTCTTTAAATGATTGGCATGATACTGGAGAAGGGGGAAGGGAAGAGACACCTTCCTCAGGACATCAAGTCCTAGAGGGAGCAGGAGGAGGAGATGGGTGTTCTTGTCAACCTTGGGTTTCCTGGGGCTTCCTCGGTCACTATTTCCCCAGACCTTGACTGTATGGAGGGGACTGGAGGACTGAAACCCAGAGGGATAGAAGGGGGTATCTCAAAGTCACAATCAGCCAAGCTGGTTCTTGCCCAGAATGGAGAAAAAAAAGACCTCTGTCATCCAGTCACGCAAGAGGAGACAAACTAGCTTCTCTCTTGGTGTCTTGATTCCCTTTCTCTGAGTTCCAGCTTTCATACCAATATCCAAAGAAAGGATCACACTCACACTAGACCATGTTCTTCTCCTGTTTCTAACTTTTCCAGGGTTCCTAAGGTCTTGGCCCTCCACCTGGCACAGAAGGCCCCCTGGTACCTAGTCTCCAGTCCCTTGCATCCTCTACTCGAGTCATCATTCTGACAACCTGTATGTATTTGATCTTTTACTTCTCCAGGTCTTTGTCCATCCATGCAATCTGCTTAGCATACTGCTCCTCTCCTTTCACCTGACTCACTTTTATGGTCTCATAAAGTGATTCCCATACGCCTACACAGGATTGCCACGCCCTCTACTTCTGCACACTTGATCATCTGCTATGTCATTTTCTGCATTTATCCTGTCTCCATGGCTAGACTGTAAGTTCCATCAAGGCAGGGTCTAAATATTAATTACAATGATTATACATCACTAAACCCTTTCCAAACAATGTTCACATCTGCAAGTTCTGTGAGATGGGAATTACATCCCTATTTTATAGAGGGGGAAACCAAAGCCCAGGGAATTAAAGCACAAAGCTCAAGATCACAGTACACTCTGCTCCAGGCTGTCTACTGACTCCATACTCTGCATCTTTCCTGACAAAATCCCCCCTCTACTTAAAGGAGATGGAGAATAACTGCCTGATCCTTCCAGCTTCCACAGAAGGCCTTCCTACCTTTAAATTCTGCCATTAATGCTAACCATACATACACTTGATTGTGAACGCCACAGTGGAGGGGGAAGGGCTATGTCAAAATGCATTCATGAAGCACAGCCCAGAGCCTGGCACACTGTAGATGCTCTATAAATTTACTGGGTTTAAAAAAAAAATAAAATTTACTGGGTTTAAATCTAGGCCCATCCTACTCTAGGGTGCAGGGACTTGTTTCATCCCTCTCACCCTTATTATGCCTCCAAACTCTGGCACATTCCAGCCCCCTTTTGGGAGAAAGATCCTTCCTGCCCAGGTCCTAGTGAGACAGGCATCCCAAGACAGACTCCCTCCTCCCTCCCCCGGGGCTCCAGCTGCTGTGGGCCCTCCAAGAAAGGAGAGGCCCTGAGCCAGTCTATTTTGGTATCTGGGGTGGGCACCAGCAGGGCTAAGGTTACCCTGGTATGTTAAGGGCTCCCTGGGGCAGGGCTATATAACCCCAGAGGGACTGCCCCAGGCTGACTCTCTGCTCCTTTCCAGCCAGAGCCACTGCTTGCCCCCAGGACACCGAAGACATGGTGAGTGAGAATCCAGATGCCCCAGGTCCCTCCAACCTTGAGGCAGCCTCACCCTTTGAAAGAAAGTAGTGGGTTCCAAAAGGAAGAAAGCTGAATCTTACCTTTCCTGGTATCACTAGTGAGAGGCATAAGGGACGATGGTTTAAAGGAACCAGCCAAGGATAATCTGCCCAGACACTCCATTCACAGCGGCCCAGTCCCTTTGAAAGCATCCTCTACCTCCCTGCTCTCCATCTTCCTAAAACCCTCTGAGACCAGCCAGGCACGGGGTCCCACCCCCATTTTATAAATGAGAAAGAAGCGATTCCATCTGGGTGAACAAGTCAGTCAGGGTTGCACAGTAAGTCTGAGGCAAGCTCAGGCATTTGTTGGGTAGGATGGAGAATGGGGATTCAAGGGCAACAGAGAGGAATTTGGGAATGTAAATGAAGCAAGTTCTCTCAAAGAGGTTGTGGGAGGGAGCCTTCCTGGTGGCACAAGGGGTTAAGAACCACATTACAAAGCAATCCACAACCTCTGCAGCACAAGTTTGATCCCCAGCCAGCCAGGGAGCAACCCACATGGCGAGGCAGACCTCTCCTGTCTTGCCCGCTGCTCCCCTCAGCAGTGTATTTCAACCAGTCTGCCTGTTCTGTCCCCCACTCTGTCTCTGGTGAATCCTTTTACCCCCTGCATCTCTGGCCTGTACCCCAGCTCTTGTATGCATAAATAATCTTTTTTTTTTTTAAAAAAAAAAAAAAAGGTTGTGGGAGGAGAGGGAAAGAACCAGAAGAATGTTTTAGAAGGGCCTCAAAAGAACCCTAAATCCAGTCCATTGCCTCCAAGAAGGAGTAAGAGACCGGTCCATGGACCCCTTTGCCCAAACCCCACCCCCTAGGCACCCAAGAGGGCCAAGAGAAGGGCAGCAGCAGAGGGTGGAAGCTCCAATGTCTTCTCCATGTTCGACCAGACTCAGATCCAGGAGTTCAAGGAGGTGAGTGAGGAGAGGGGAGACTGAAGACTGACCAAATGTACCCCCTACTGCTCCTGCCCCCTCTTCCTGGAATGCACACCTGTTGGGGGGGGGGAAGGGAAGGGTTTAGATTCCACATTCCCCTCCCTGCCTGGGGTGTAAGAGGACAGCAGCTGGCTGGGGGCCAGAATCTGATCTGCCTGGGATAGGGATGCTAAAGCTTGGTCATGGGAGAACTAACTCCTCCCTGCCCCTGCCCTGCACAGGCCTTCACTGTGATTGACCAGAACCGGGATGGCATTATCGACAAGGAAGATCTTCGGGACACCTTTGCAGCCATGGGTGAGCCCCCCCACTCCACCTGCGAAGAGTTAAGACTGCAGAGTCCCGGGAATTCTGTAGCCTTAGGTTCCAGGCCTGTTGGCTCCACCCTGGACCTCATTCTACCCAGATGAAAAATGGCTGGGATGATATAAATTTATGGTAAGCATCAGCTGCAGGCCACAGAATCCCAACCCAGACTGTCCTAACCCCCCACTCTGCTCCAGGCCGCCTCAATGTCAAGAATGAGGAGCTGGATGCCATGATGAAGGAAGCCAGCGGCCCCATCAACTTTACCGTCTTCCTGACCATGTTTGGGGAGAAGCTCAAAGGTGAATTAAATGTCCGGAGGCTAAGCCCCTAGTTGGCCCTCCCAAGAAATTTCAGAGGGCCCTTCAGCATCATATGCTATCTGACCTCCAGGTGCAGACCCTGAGGACGTGATCACTGGAGCCTTCAAGATTCTGGACCCTGAGGGGAAGGGAACCATCAAGAAGCAGTTGTAAGTAGCAGCTCTCATGAAAAAGCCTCCTTAACGTCTTACCGAGGCTTAGGCACTGTCAGAGATAATGGAGAAATGAGAAATGTGGAAATGGGAGATAGCATTGAATTTTCACAGCAAATATGGGCGAAGAGCGAGATCGGGGAGGCCAGAGTGTCCGGGAGTCCATCAGAGGTCTAGGGTGACCCTGTATTTTCAAGGCGAGACTGGGAATGGCAACAAGGATGAGGTGGGAGGAAGGGGAAAGGAATCGTGACGTCCAACAGCAACCCCCTGCATGTCACTTCTCCGCAGCCTGGAGGAACTGCTCACCACTCAGTGTGACCGCTTCACCCCGGAAGAGGTGCGTGGAGGAGAGGCGGGGGCGCGGAGGGGTGGGGGAGGGGAGCGCCGGCCAGACGTGCCCTTGCGTTTCCCCCAGATCAAGAACATGTGGGCGGCCTTCCCCCCCGACGTGGGCGGCAACGTAGACTACAAGAACATCTGCTACGTCATCACGCACGGCGACGCCAAGGACCAGGAGTAGGGTCCTCTGCCGGCCCACCCTTCCTGCCAGTCCGACCCCCACCCCAACTCCCAATAAAGTTCTACTGGGATCCTGTTTCTTCTCCGCCCGCGGGCGGTGTTTGCCCCACAGGGTCTCCGCTGGGGACGGGCGGGCCGCTGCGGGGCGACGGCGGGGGGCCGGCTGCCGGCGGGGGGCGGCCCAGCCCGGGGGCGGCTCCGCCTGCTGCCCCGCCACGTACTCCCGCTCGGACAGACTCGCGTGGCCTTAGGGAAACTTTATTGAAGGTACAGCTCGACTGGAGAGGGGCCCTGGGGGTGGCAGGGACGGGACCGGAGACGCGCCCCCCGCAGACGGGGGCGGGCCGGGCTCCGAAGCCCGGATGTGCGGGCACCTGCGAGCGGGAGAACCCGGGGCAAAGGCGGGCCTTACGGGCTGAGGCTCCGGGATCGGGCGCTGGGCCGCCGGGGGCGCGGGGATTGGGCGGCTGACGGACGGAAGGCGGAGCCGAGGTAAAGCGTACCCCGCGCGGAGGCCTCAGAGGGCGTCCGACTGCTCGCCCTGATTCTGGCTCTGCTGCATCTGCGCCTGCATCTTCTCCAGCATCTCTTGCATGCGGCGCAGCTGTGCGAGACAAGATACAGGGCGATGGGGTCGGAGAGGCCAGCGAGGGGCTTGGAAAAGGACTTGGGCGGGAGTGGGGGCAGCGGGGGGGAGTGAGATGCTGGCTCACCTCTTCATCTTTCTCTCGGATCAGCTTTTCCGTCTCGGCCAGAGGCAGCATGGGCATCGGGATCTCTGTGGCACTCTGGCGGGAAAGCTTACTAGGGGGTGGGAAGGGGAACGACAGTCAAGGTTGGGGGACCCATGGTTGTGGGTCAAGGCCACAGGGCAGGACCTGGGGCTAGGTTGGGGTCTAGGAGGCAGGTGAGCCTAGGACTCCGAAGCAGTGTAGTAAGCCAAGTGGTTGGAGAAAGATCTGGATGGTGAGACCGGAGACTGTGAAGGACCTAGGAGTTGGCTTCTGCTCTCACCTACGACTGGCTCGATCACGCGCCCCAGGCCGAGCCAGGCTCTGTAGGCAGCGGGCCCTGTAGCCCTCGTAGAGCAGGTCGTGCGTCACCTCCTTCAGGTCCTGCAGGTGTGTCTGCACCAGCATGCGTCGCAGGTTCAGGAAATCGCAATGATGTGGGTTCTCCACTGGGGGGCGGAACCGCGAACCTCAGCGCTCCGGGTCCAGATTTACACCCCCACTCCCACCCCCACCCACCCCCGCCCCAGTCCCATCTGCCCAGTCCTGCCGCCTTCTAGGGGAGGGTGAGTGGTCAGCAGCCCAAGGACCCATCTTTGGGTTCCTATCACCCCCGGTACTAGAGATCACCCTCACTTCACATATTGGGTGCGTTTGACCGGATGTCGCTCCAGCTTCCTGCTGGCCTCAGAGCTTACGCCCGCCTTACCCTCTACTGTGCCCCAGGAGTAACTGCGTCCTCTCACCGGTGGGGTCCCACCAGCCCTCACTACTTCACATGAACCGACGACTGCAAAAGGGATGCTTTCCTAGAGGGCAGGAGTCAGGGATCACTGTTAGGTGGGCAGAGACCTCTTTCTCAGTCTTCACCTGCACATCCGCCTCCCCTGCCTCTCTGCCCTCCTCCTTTGCCTCTGAACCTTCATTTCTGCATCCTGCCTCTTGAAATCTTCATCTTCGTCAGAGTCACAGTCAGGGAACTGGTAGATGTTGATTTCCTCTTCCTTCAACTGGTCCCGTATCTCAGAGGAGACAGAGACAGAGACAGTAAGAAACACAGAGGGTGTGAAACACAGGCCAAGGGGGCGGAGGTGCATTCACAGGCTGGAGATAGTGAGGTACAGATACAGAAACCAGATGACCAGAGACAGGAAAGACATGGGTGGTAGAAACGATGTGCAGGATGACCAAAAACAAAAGCTCAGAGAGAGAAAGATGGTGAAAAACTGAGACAAAGACACCCTAATAAGGAAGACAGACCTGGAAAGAGTCTAAATGCCAGTAGCAAAAATGGTGGGAGAGGGTTCTGAAGACACCGGTAGGGTGTCTTTAGTATCGGGGGCCAGGCAGATATCAGGGGTTATCAGATCTATGCCCCTGCCTGCAGATGGGCCTTAGCCAAGCATCTAGCCCCAGGATTCTATTCTGAGCCTGAGACCTGCATCCTTCAGGCAGCTTACTAGCCCTCCTTCTCCAGAAACTCCCATAGTCTAGCCTGACATATCATGCTCCCAAAAGGCCACCCCAAGATCTAAGAGGTGAAAACTGGGTTCATGACTTTTAGCTTCATGCAGGGTTGAAGATCAGCCCACACACCTTCTGCTTGAGGATCTGGATTTCCTTAGGCATCAGGGCATCTGCTTTGCCGATGACAGGGATGATGTTGACCTTCTCGTGCACTGCCCGAAGGAAGGCTATATCTAGGGGCCGGAGCCTGCACCGAGGAGTGGGTCAGGCTCAGCCTCAGGGTCTCTAGACACCCCCAGCCCTCTCCAAATGCTCCAACCCCCAGGGTGTCCCTCAGACCCCCGGCCAAAGGGTGAGATGAAGTAGAGGCAGCAGTGGACACGGGAATCCTGAATGTTCTTCCGGTTCAGGCCACTCTCATCCCTAAGATACTGCTCGAACTGTTCCTCAATGAAACGTACCACTGGCAGCCAGCTGGAGTGTGGGGATAGAGCGCCTGGTCAGAGGTCAGGGGCCACGGGGCAGGGATGGGGATAAGGCTCACCAGGATGTGGGGTTAGGGGAAGTACTGGTTTAACTCCAGGCAAAGACATCAGATGAAACTGGCAGGGGTGTAGATGAGATGTTGGGGCCAGATGGCAGCCAAATACAGTCCCCACCTTCTGGATCAGGGTGTTGGGGCCAGGATAGACCAACCCTATAACAAACCCCCAGCCCCAGTCTCCACAAAGTAGCCACACTGGGAAAGTTACCCTGCCACCTCCCCCCACCTCACCAGTCTGAGCAGTCCACTGAGTCCCCAAAGCCAGGCGTGTCCACTACAGTCAACTTCACCTTGATACCCCCCTCCTCAATCTCCACACCCCGGCGCTCGATGGTCAGTGTTTGTGTTAGGCGAGCTATGGGGACAGAAGAAATCAGGGTGTGAGGCAGACTGAATTTCCTTTTTCTGTACCTTAGTTGCCCCCACCCATTTTTCAGGGGAGAAAACTGAGTCTCAGAGAAAAACAGCAAGCTGCCTGAGGCTCTGGCTCATGGGACACCCAGATTGAAAGGCAGAGAGTGCAGCGAGGGGACACAGGAGGGGGACAGAGAGCCTGGGAGGATGGGAGAATCTTACCACTGGCCTCTGGCACTTGCCGATCCTCATAGAGGTTGGTGAGAAACAAGCTGTTGATGAGGGTGGATTTCCCCAGGCCTGACTCCCCTGTGGACAGGCCAGGCCCAACTGTTCAGGTGAGGAGGCAGCTAGGGTCTCTTGAGGAGCCCCCTCCAGCCCTGTCTCCCAAACCCCCAGACCTGCCACCATGAGTGTGAAGTCAAAACCTTTCTTCACAGACTTGCGATGCAGCTGGTTGGGGAGGGCAGCGAAACCCACATACTCCTTGTCCTGTTGATGGGGTAGATAATATGAGGCTGCTGGGAGCAGCAAGCTGGCCCCCCTAGAACCTGAGCTTAGGAGCTAGCAGGAATCAGTCTACTGTGGGTTGGCTCGGCCTGGCTACCCTGGGATTTGAGGGCTGGGGCAGAGATGCCTGGGTTCCTGGGCATTAGGACTCACCATGGTCCTGCTAGCTGTCGCTGCACCTGCAGTCACTCGCTTCCTCTGGTGGGACAGGAAGTCGAGTGTGGCAAACAAGGGGAAACAAGGGGGCGGGCAATGTAGGACGCTGAGATGCGCAAATGAGCCCAGAGAGGTGGGGAAAGTTAAGGCAGAGAAAACCTGCCGTCCCCTGGATCCTTTGTTCATCATCCTTCTGGAAAGCTTACTGTCTACACACATTTATTCCAAATTCCACTGTAGCCTCATCACCCTGGTGGCGGTGGGGTATAGGCAGAAAGGAAGGAAGTAGGCTGGTCTCTCTAGCAAGTGAGATGAAAGCTTTGGGGATTTTTTTTTTTTTAATTCCCTAGCAGGGCCTCGCTGGTGGCACAGGGGTTAGAGTCAGCGCTATCAAGCTGTTGTCAGCCAATGCAGCATGAGTTTGTTTTTTTATTTTATTTATTTATTTATTTATTTATTTATTTATTTAATAGAGGCATGTTTTATTTATTTATTTTATTTGTTTGTTTGTTTTAGTTTATACATGCACTGGGCACAGTCAGAAGCACAGGAGGATGAGAGAATTCACCAGAGCCAGAGCAGGGAGCAGAGCAGGCAGAAGGACCGAAGTACACTGCTGAGGGGAGCAGCGGGCGGCAGGAGAGGCCTGCGCGCCATGTGGGACCCTCCTCCGGTGGCCGGGGAGCAGCCTGGGATCGAACCGGCGCCTCAGAGGCCACGGGCAGCCTCGCAACCCAGCGCTCAACCGCTGCGCCACTGGGGAGGCCCTGCAGCATGAGTTTGATCCCCGGCCAGGGAGATGACCCACATGGCGCAGCAGACCTCTCCTGTCTCACCTGCTGCTCCCCTCAATGGTGTATTTCAGTTGATCTGCCTGTTCTGCTCCCCACTCTGTCTCTGGTGAATCCTCTCACCCCCATACCTCTGGCATGTACCCCAGTTCTTGTATGCTTAAATAAAAATAAATCTTTTAAAAAGGATCTGAGTGGATCAAAGGGATTGGAAGTGGGAAGGAGGCAGCGATTTCCTTGCCATGAAATGGATTCCTAAAAGGATTTCAGGCTTTTGGACACCACTGCTAGGGGGACCCGGTCCTCGCATCTTGCCCCAGGCCCTCTCCTGATTAAAGCCCTTCAGGGGCTTCCCAGTGACCCCAGAACCAAATCTCAAATCAGACCTGACAGCCAAAGTCTCCCAAATCTTCACCCCATCTCTCTCTCACCATTGGTAATTGCCCATGTCTTTGGCTCTGCTCATGCTGCTTCTCCTTCTGCGCCTGGTAAACTCCTTATCTTTCAAGGCTTTGATTCAAAGAGCGC